CTAAATTCTACCCCCTTTTCTACAATATCTGTTGAACAACATATGGATGATATCCAGGGTCTCTTCTGGATTTTGTTTTCTGAATATTTTTGTTGCCTTTATGTTCTCTTCTTTATATTATTTATGCAGCTTCAACAATTACCTTTATGTTTGACTCAAATCTCATGCATGTATATATCAGATCTATCACTCAATATTGGAAAAAGCTTTAGCTGAAAAAATTCTACTGATGACAAATAGTTCTAGGATATCTTGTATTGATTATATCTTGCTTCTCATCTGGGCAGTCATCGAATTTCAATCTGTGCAATTCTCATTTTACACTCCTGCAAATGGTAACTTTTAAGTTTTGAAAGCTGGGCTTGCTACACATGGCACTTAGCCCCTTACCTACCATTGTGTTTTGAGGCTTGCCTGGCTCCTGGCACTTGGTTATATCATGTCTCTGGCTCTTTAATTCTTCCCTGGGCATGTTTCTTAGTCTAGTGTTTTTGTTAGTGCTTTCCTTGATCATAGTTTTGCCTACTTTTCTGTCCCAATCAAATCTGTAAGGATCCTGATGAATGTAATTCAAAATTAGTAAGAGTCCCAAGGAAATGATGTATTTATTGCATAATATGTAAAGCATTCTGCTGAGAAATAAAAAGGAAATGTTGGGTGGGTAAGGGAGGTTTGCTTTTGTTCGTTTTCTTAGAAATCCTACGTTTTTGCTTGTGGCATTGGCAACCCAGAGCTAAAGCAACTGACTTAGGACATTGGAGTCATTCCATCATTTCTTTTCCTGGCTTCCTCCTGGCTAAGGATGAATATAGTCCTAGAATGCATATCAGATGAGCAATTCTAATATGCATTAAACATTAACTTGGGTTTTCTAAGCAATATAAAATGTATATGTCAACTTAGAATGTCCCACTTCCCCCAGGGATCCGTCATGCATGAATGCAAGGTACATTATGAATTAGAATAACCAATTAAGCCTATACTATGGTTTCTTACTTTAAAAGGACATCTATCTGTTATAGGCAGTGAATAAAGGAGAGTGTTGTGAGTATGAGTAGCATCACATATAGGCAGCTAAAAACTTTTATGAACATCAATCACTAAATAGGCAAAGATACTTGGAACCTGTTTTTGTAAATGTTCATAAAGCAAGGCCTCTGTCACCCTGTACTGTGGTATGCCAGCTAAGACCTTGCTTCTCTCTGGACTTCAGTTTTCTTGCCACTATCTTCTGTTCTTAAGGGAAAAACATTTACTCACTGCAAAAAAGCAGGCTCCCCACATCTAGACAGTCCTGTTTTAATAAAACCATAACAGTATCATTTGTTCTTTAGAAGCAGTCATTATCTAAATGCTATTGTCCTTCCTAAACCTTCCACAGATCCCACTGTGCAGAGAACACCACACATGTTCCTTTGGAGCATGGTGTGCTTTACACATCCTTGCTGGGCCTTTTCCTCTTTCTCTGTTCTCACATCCATCAGCTTCTTCTTGTACTTCATGGCCCAGATTTATTGTCTGATGTAGTTGTATTTGCCTGTTTCTCACATCCAAGGCTCCCATCTATCCTTACTTTAGGTGCAGAATTCTCTTCCTCCATGTGTCAGACTCTTCATTAGGCATTGAGATTCAGCTCAGGACTTGTGGCTTTGTGGAGACTTTCTTCTCTTCACCTATCCATCACCTAACATGAGCTAGCTATTTCCCTTCTGCCCATTTACCTTATCATAGATTTATTAAAATATACATTACTTTTCCCAACAAGTAGGTTCTCCTATCTGTTTTCCCATCAAAGTTTTGTTTGACCTCCTTGACTTTCCTTAATTGCTGCATCCTGGGCAACTAGGAAATGCCTGACAAAACACAGACAACATTCATGCTCACCTATTTTTGACTGTTTTCACACATGGTATCTCTAGGATCTATTCATTGTCAAGAAATTCTTTTATTTCTAATGTCAAAATTTCTATGTAATAACTAGCTTCAATCTTGTACCTCTTGAAACTGTTCATTCTCAATAGGCCTATTCTTTGCTTAAAAAAAAGTAACAGTCTCTGGTCATTCAAATTCTTTTTTAGATTTCTGGTATGTTACTAAATCTTCTTGTCATACATCTACTTGGGTAAAACCAAAACTGGTATCTAGTTTCATATAGGTCATAACTGGTACTTTTGAATCTTTCAGTTTATTTTATTTTTATATTCACCAAAAATGTAAAAATAGTAGTATTTTAATTGTACATATTTAAGGCATACAACACACACATATGCAGTGCAATACATATTGATACACACAGGCATACATAGTGAAATGATAGCTATAGTCAAGCCAATTAACATGAAAAGTATCTTACACAGTCATCACTTTTCCCTTTGAGGTAAAGTAACCTAAATTCTATTCTCAGAAACTTTCCATGATACAGTATTATATAATTGACTGTAGTCTTCATGCTGTACATTAGATCTCTAGACCTACTAATTCATAAAATTTTGACTTTGTATCTCCACATCCTTCCCCCAACTAAACCTTGATAATCGTCATTCTACTCTGTTTTTATATATTCAGCCTTTTTTAGATTGTACACATAAGTGAGATCATGCAGTATTTTTTTCTGTTTTGTGCCTGGCTTATTTCACTTAGAGATCACAAAACAAATAACTACTTCCCCAAATTTCAGGGGAGAAATCCATTTTCTGAATAATCACAAAATTAAGACCATTTAACTTCAGTTTCTCTACCTTATATCTCAAAATATGCATTATATTTACTCATCTTTTCCTCAATTTCTCTTGTCTTAAGAAAACTGTTACATGTTATATAGTTCTTATTTTTATACTACAATTCTGGTGTTAATGGAGAAATTCATACTATTGATTTTTCCCACTCCTTAATTGTGTTTCAACTCTTTCTCTGTTGACATCTTTAAGTTACAAGTCTTCCCTGTCTTAAAGTCACCTTCCTATGATTCCTGTTGTCCCTATCCAAATGGTCTCATAGTCTATAATTCTCTTTACCTCTTACTCTAAATTTGTCAGAAAAGCAGGATACATGTGTTACTTTAAATTTTCACAAATTACTTTTTAATCATTTAGAGTACATTTCAATATTTGAATTGACCGTGTCACCTGCTGCACATCCTGAATCATTGCCACTTTTGATGCCTCTTGCTTCTTCTAGCAATGCAAAGCATCAAGGAGAAGAAAGTGTGAGACTGTACACTTTTGTTGATACTCTATTTTCTCCTGTGCATACTTGAATTTTATTCTTAGATGATTTCTTTTCTTATTTGTCTTTCCCTAGGGACATTTATTTACTCCCTTGAGGTAAAATAATTTCCTCAATTATACTTTTGAATTCTCACTTGAATATAAAATTTAATTTACAACACCTCAGGTTGGATAACTCAAACTGATCACATACAAGATTAATTTAGTATCCCCTTTACAATTTTACCTTTTCATATCTTGTTTTATTACATGGTTAACTTTTTAATCATCCTGGCATAACTGGCATAGTTAATTCATTAATTTTCCTAAGTTTTCAAATTCCTTCTATTTTAATGTTTGCCTTTCTGTTGTGCAAGATGTCCAGCACCATCTCCCTAATTGAGGGCATCCAAATTCCTATACTCAACTACTATAATAACATCATACAACTATCACCTTTGATGATGGACACAAAGCCATAAAATACAAAACATTATATAATCCTTTTTATTTCAAATGTCTAATGTTTTTCTGTATCTGGTGAATTTTGTCACACTACATACTTGAAATTCACAGGTATCCAAGTTATAACTGCATCAATTATCTGCAATATTAAGTTATACTCCACATATTCTATGTAACCTTACAGTTGTTACATTGCTTCAAGTGTATCTGTTCCCTTTGATCAAGATACTGAATTGCCATTCAATCACATCTCAAAATAAGACTTGTAATTTAAGTTATAATTAAAGTAGCAGCTCTTTAAGGACAAACTCCTCTGCTTACATGTAACACAGATACTCTATTTCTCTACTAGCCATAATTAAGTTTTACACATTGTAGACAAAATGCTACATTGACAGCTAACTTAGTAACAAAATTTCAGAAAGTAAAACATGGTTTATGGGACTTAGATACATCAGGATGTAAATGATATCTTGTTTATTAACAAAGAATATGAGTTTGAGAATATTACTTAAATTTTGCTGTTAAGTAAAGAAGAGCTAACTTATGCTGTTTTGGGAAAGATACAAATATTGATCTATGAAATACTTAGGACCCAGAATAGGGTTAATACTAAGGAAAGATAGCCATGATTATTATTTTAATTATTAAACCCAAAATAGAAAATATAATCAATATTTTTCAGATGAATTGATCTCATGAAATTTTGCAAAATTTCTATGATAGTTTTAATGAGGATTTTGCCTATACCAGCCATCCATATTTCTTCTCTGATTTGTTTACTATAGAGGAAGGTATATATTTTTTATTTTGTTAAAAAAGTATTGGCTTGAATTGAATTATGTATTTTTCATAAGTCAAGTGTCCCTGGGTCGTAAACAGTTTGCCCCACCTGATTAAGCTCTCACCATAGACTTGTTAGTTACTTCACAGCATTACAAAGCACTAACTGCTCAAGTTAACATGAAATTGTGGTCTTTGTGAAGCTCTGTGTATCTATGTTGTTCATGTAAAACTGCCCTATGACTGAGATCTTAAGTCCCTATTAGACTCTAAGACATCTAATGGTGCCCACAAAAACTTGGGGTCTATGGCAGAGTGTCACTGTGCTCCAGTCATTGTTAGTGAGCAATTGCATTTCCTGGACAAGTTTCCTTTATCAGCTTGTGAATTACCCCTTTGTTACAATGCTCCCCAGAATTTCTGGGGACAGATACTGAACAGAAATCACTTTCTAATCATGCAAACTTCTTGGAATTGAAGCTTAATGTTGAATTCATTTCAAACCACAAAATTAGCATGTCATCAAATTCAATATATATAGAGCTACAAAAGCAGATAGACCATCATCTACCCAGCTTCACTTTCACTTCCTATCCTCCACTTTGGAAAAAGGTAAGAAATTCAGCTATAAATTTTGAGTATACCTTCCTTATTATTTATTGCACACTAGGTTGTTCTTTGGAAAGAAAGTAATTGATTAAAGTACAGTTTTAGAATAAAGGTATTTAAGGTAGTGCTGAAGCTATTATTAACTTTTATTTTAGAAATGAAGGAATGCCTAGAAAGACTATAATGGCTCTGTAGGTTTCATGAGTCCAAGAAAATGTAATTCACACTGAGTGGATACATATTTTATGTATACATGTATATATACACACATGTATATACACTAAAGATAGCATATATCTTTAGTATAAGTTAGTTAATAGTATTAACAGCAGATTAATGAATGGTTTCCTAATTAATTCTTCCAATTTGATTCAACATATCACAGCTGTAAAAACAAATATATTTAAATATATTATGAGGCAATACATATTTATTGGGAAAGCTCTTGTCTAATAGTTTATAGAGTTAGCATATTGAGTCAAGAAATGAAGATAGTGGTTTGGGAACATGCAATATATTAAATATTTATAAACATCATTATAGAAGAAGAGCATAGTCATCAAACTTGTCCAGTACCTTAAACTCCGCAGTTTATCATCTAGCCTACCATATTTTGAAACAATATTAAAATAGTAACATTAAAATAAGTAAGCTAAAAAGAAAGTATCATACTTTGTAAGAAAATGGATGAAAGAAAAGTAGCTTGTATAATTTCAGTCAATAATAGAATTCTGACTTAAAAACCTGGTGTACAAAATGTTGAGAATAAAATATATAAATGCAATGGGATACACTCTCCATACCATAATGTATAATGGAGTATTACATACTTTTTTTGAACTCTGACAATTAAAATCATTTTAAAATTTTTTGAGACTTTAGGCAAGGTAAAATTAATTCAGAATTATATAACATCCATTAGAAAAATCTGAAAATATATTTTTTCACTGGCAGAATTATTTTCAGTCTTCAAATATTGGAGAGAATGTTTTGCAGAAAATTAGAAACAGTTTTTTCATGAACTGTTTTTGGTTAAAACATTTAGTTTAAAATGTGAAAACAAAAACCTGTCAAATGATATTATGACATAAAATTTATTTTTTGAAATACATTATATGAAATACAAGAAAATCAAGCACAAAGGCCATTTAATATATTTGATATGTAATGTTAAGATTTATTTCATAAGAAGAGGTAGCCTACATTGGCATTGGGAGTGGGCAATAGAATTTGACCTTTGGATCAATCATCAATATATCAATGAGCACATTTTATACAGAAAAAAGGTAAAATAATGTATTATCTCCAATGTCCTGGGACACACAGGAGAAGATATATTAGATATGTAAGGATCAAGACTGCATAGTGAGTATGAATGAAGAAGAAACAAATCTATTTGTCAAAGAAAGCATCTATCTGGAGAGTGTAACAAAACAAACAAACAAACAAAACCTGCTACAATGAAAACAATAGTCTTATTGGACATGAGAAGGTGTGATTAAACTAAATGTTAATGGCATTATTAAGTAGAAGAAAAATAAACATAAAAATTATTCAGCAGTAGAAATGAGTACTTTGCAGTAGAATTGAGGCTCTATCAGGTTTGGGATTTGCTCTTTCCCCCTACCTAGGCAGTGTCTGGCAATTAAAGTGCTAAGTAAATATTTCATAGAAAATGAACAAATAAATCTTTCTGTAACTTTTTATATTCTTTTATCATTTAAAAACCCAAAATATAACACTCTGAGTAAACTTAAATATAAAAAGACTGGAGATCCATGAGCTAAAAATCTGAATAGATTGAATTTAATATTTAGGAGTAGGAAGCCAGAGTACATTTTTGACTAGTTACATGATAGACCGTCTAATAGTATATTTCCTTAAAATGAAAGCATGGTATTATATTATTTTTATTTTTTTAAAGGAAAAGTAACTCTACCTAAATAACAAAATATATCTGACTGACTAATCTGTTGCCATCTCTCATTTCCCCATTCACAGGACGTGGTAGCCATGAAGGTCCTTATCCTTGCCTGCCTTGTGGCTCTTGCTCTTGCAAGGGAGGTATGTACAGAGAAAATTCCTAAAAAACTAACATATAGCGGTTGATCTTCCTAATGTATCAAATAATATCAATAATAATGTTAGCATACAAATAATGGAATTTTCAGCTTTTTTTTTCTGGTGTCTATGAAAATCATTTACTTTTACCTACTTTTTCAATTTTCCTGTGGGGTCTCAAACCTGGGACAAATGCTTTCTATTCCAATGTCTCCCTGTAGCTAAAGGAAAAGCTAACAAATACTTAGTAACAAAACAAGACAAAAAAAGAAAGAAAAACAGCAAATAACTATGTAGTATTACACAATTTTATGCATGCATAAATTATATAAATGTATCTTAATAAACTGTTCAAATGTATGTGTCTCTTGCAGTAGAGAAGTGGGCCAAATTCTATTTGTATTTATCCAAAGACTACCAGAGGACAGAATATAGGCAATAATCATAATCATAATCATAAGTATACTCATAATAATAACAAAAATATTTAACAGAAATTAAAGTAATTACATTTCTGTTATCCATCCCAAATCTATTCTCAATTCAGGTGATAGAGAAATATACCAATTTAAATTTACTAAATATAAAACAATGAAAATTTCACTTGTAATGTCTGTACAAAGACATGCAATTTTTTAAAAAGCTTTTTCCAACTTTTTAAGAGAGTGCTATATAAAGTGCATAAAATGAGTAAATGTGTAATGATGAATTAGCTACAGACACTAAAATGGACTTATTACTTTTCTTTATAGAACGAAGAAATCGGTGTATCCACTGAGGTAAGTTTTTTTGAAAACATTTTTTTTCCATCCATAAAATAATAACATTTTCTGATGGTCTAGTAGATTTAATGCTGATTTTTTCTTTTTATTTTTTATTTTCTTTACAGATTTCAAGCAGTGAGGTAAGAATGATTTTTAGAGGCAATTTCCAATTGTAGAACTATAAAATCCTGTGCCTTGTATTGTGTTACATCACAGTAATTATGCTAATGTAGCCACATATGACATGCAAATTCTGATGTAAATTCCCTTTATATATGTTGAAAGACAGAAAAAATGCCTGGAGAATTTAGTACTCTAGAACTTTCTAAGTGGGCTTCCTACTTGAAATTGTGTCACTGCCTCCCCATCCCATTTCCTATGGATCATACAGCTCTGTTTTCTGTCTTGAGCTTTCTGTACTCTGACCTCACTCACTTTTAACATTGATTGAGTGCTTTCTGTGCATCAGACACTGATTAGGAGCTGTGATACAAACTAAAGATTAGGATGTCAATGAAACCAAGAGCTTGCAGTGTAGTGGGTAAGCAAACATGTTTAGGACACATTTTTTTCTTAGAGCTGTCACTTTGGTAAATAAAAGCCAGTGGGATTTGGTGTGAACTTAATCTACTCAAGAGAGTCAGGCAGACATTTGTCCTTGCACCACTCTTGAAAATGTTGTCATCTGTTTAGTAAGTGGTGTGACACTTACTTTTATTGTCTCTTCACAAAGTCTTGAGAATTTTAGGGGGTGTATTGATTTCTTATAGTTTATTTGAAACTGAACACATTAACAAGTGAACTAATAATGACTAGTAAAATGTAACAAGTGCTGTTATGTTGTGTTTTCAATTAGTTTTTTCCCTCTTTGAATCAGATGGTTTTTTAGTAGAGATGTGGGCCAAATTCTATTTGTATTTATCCAAATATAAATATTTGTATTTATCAGTAAAAGGACCATGATTGTAGAGAGAAATTAGCTTCCATTAGAAGCTTATTTTTGCACAGTGTTCATTAATTTTTTTTTCTCTCTTGACTACACTCATCTGATTTTTTTATATGACAGGCTTTTTTAATATGAGAGGCTTTATAGAATGGTCTAAATATAAAAGTTGCAGTTATTATCCTAACTATGGACATTAGCAAGTGAAAGTGTCTCTATTAACCTATTGAAGCATTTACTTTCTGATATATATTGAAAACTAAGAATTATTAATCAAAACTAAATCTGATTTTATTTTTTTTATTTTTATGAAGGAATCTATTACACATATCAAGGTAAAATATTCATATTTAACTGTACTCATTTTCATGATTTCCTGTTAGATTTTCATAGATAATAGCATTTTAAATGCATGATTTGTTTTTAGGAGAAGCTTGAGAACATTAAGCATGTGGAACAGCTGCAAAGACAGGTAAATTTTCATGACTGTGTTTCTAATATTATTATAAAACATAATCCATGAAAATATTCATAATGCATATGTTCAATTTAAAGAATTGCAAAGTAAATGCCATGTACCTACCAATCAATATAAGAAATTAAACAATTGCAAAGTTAAATATATTTTCCAAGTCATCAATGTGCTTTTTAAATGCATAATCAATTTCTAGAATAGAGATTAACTATCTAATGATATTACTAATGGTATATCAGTTTTAATAAATTCAAATTAGTACAAACACCTCCAAACTGGGAACTATGTTCCTTTCTTATTCTGAAGATGTTATGATGATGAAAGAGAATAAAGGTGACAAGGTGTAAGTCTGTTTCTCAGACATAACCTTGGCCACAAGTTTCTTTGTATTTCATTTTCTTAATGTGTAGATGGAGAATATTCTTAAGAATATCTACCCTGATGTATCGATGAGCTGATTTGCCATGAATATTCAATGATTTGACATTAAGATTTTGTCAATTGTACTACAATATTTATTGGCTATATGATGACGTTCTTAAGGATATTTCCAGTACAAATGAGAGAAGTGAGGTTTAGAAGAATTGAGTGCACACTATGTGACTACTATATCCAGTTAATTAAGTAGCAGAGCTTGCTTAATAATCAAGATTTTTTGAATAACAAAATTCTACAATTCATACATTTATCTAACTGTAATATTTCCATTTCCTGTTTTATTATTAGAAGGTTTGGTTATCACACAAAATATTTTCTAAAACCAATTAAAATTTAAAAATAAATGCACTTTAAACACTCAAGTAAACTACCTTTTACCAAAAGAAGTAATGGTAGAATCTGGCCAGTGTTAATGAGTCCCTGAATTTAGCCACAAATAAGGACTAACATTTTATAAAAGAAAATGAAAATAAATACACATGTTGTCCTTCTAAGTCTTTTAAAATTGATGTCTCTTCATTATATGAAAATAATCTGTTCTGTTGCTAGTATATTTAGGTTGAAAGTCAGTGCTCTATAAAGACCAAAGCATATAAGTTATATCTATCCTGTAACTAAGGAAAAGGTCAAAAAATCCAAGAAAATTCCTAAACATTGATTTCAGTTTAGACCACAGATACACCAAAAAATTGAGGAGTTTAAGAAGAAACTTCTTAAGGAACATTTTACTCATTTTTCTTCACTCAAGCCAAAATGATTTCTTAAGTGACATAAGTGAAAATCTTTCTTTTATTGTCGTCACTCAATTGCAGTTGTCCAATAGATTAATTGATTGTAAATGACAGTTATGGTTAAATCATGGACTGAAAGATTCTTCTTTTTTCAGGATGAAAGCCAAGATAAAATCCACCCCATTGCCCAGCCACAACTTCCTTATGCTCAGCTCATGCCTTACACCCTCCTTCCACAAAACGTCCTGACTCTCTCTCAGCTGGCTATGGTGCTGTCTCTCCTTCAGCCTGAGATAGCAGAAGTCCCCAAAACTAAAGAGACCATTCTTTCTAAGCTTAAGCTCATGCCCTTCCTTAAATCACCAACAGAGCTAACCCCATTTGTCCCTCAAATCCCACATCTCACTGACCTCCAAAACCAGCACCTCCTTCTGCCTCAGCTCCAGCCTGTGGTGCAACAGGTCCCCCAGGTCCCCCAGTTCTCCCAGGCTTTTCCTCAGACTCCCATACTTCTTCCTCAGCCCCAGGCGCCTATCCCTCAATCCAAAATCGTACCTGTTCCCCAGCAAGTAGTGCCCTTTCCCCAGAGAGATATGCCTGTCCAAGCCTTTCTGGAATACCAAGATCTTCTGCTCCAGCCTACTCGCCCACTCTACCCTGTGACTGACCCACTTGTCCCAGTTTCCAACCCTGTTACTGTAAGTCCATACTTATTTACTTTGCCATTTCACTCCTGATGTTTATATGATGGTAGAATAAGTTGAGGGAAATTCTAGAATATGCACTCCTAGAGAGTGAAAGAACAAAGATATAAAGTTATAATTTAGATCAGTGATTCTCTACAATAGAATCACCTAGAGCCACCCTCCCACAATTCCAATGCCTAGGCATACCACATAGGTTCTGATTAAGTTGTTCTGATTGTCTATGTAGAGTAGACTGTGTTGGAAAGAAATGATTGCAGGGATTCTGAATCAATTGGTCTCTTAAGAATTTTGATTTCATTTTTTTTCTTTTTTGGCAGTTCTAGGGACTGAACCTCAGAGGCACTATAGCACTGAGATGCATCCATAGACTTTCCATTTATTTATTTTTCTTTAGAGACAAGTTCTTGCTAACTTACTGAGGCTGGTCTCGAACTTGCTCTTCCTCTACATCAGCCTCCCAGGTCACTGGAAGTGCAGGCATGTTCTAGCACATGCAAATAAGAATTCTGATTTAAAGAGTGTTAAGACTTACCAAAATCAAAATTAAAATTGATAATTTGATTGAGCTTGTCAAAAGAAAGCTAATTATTCAATGTTTTCCTCATGGACATGCATTCCCAACATGCCATAGATCATGCCTTATTTTTGCCATCTGTAGATGAGGGGAAAAGTTTGAGATGCTTATTTAATTGTTTCTTAAGGCAATTGTTTTTGTTGAAAGATAAGTGATATATTTATTTATTTATTATTTGTTTACTTTCAAGGTCTAAGAAGATTTCAAAGTTAGCGGCTCCTCATTTTTGGTAAGTTTGAGAAGTTTGGAGATTAGACCAATTCATTTTATAGTTGATTATTTTTTCTATTTCATTCTCCTACAGATAGTGGAAAATTCCATCAACATGTTAACTTACTTACTAATTATCAATTTGTTGTCAATTGTTTACTCTTATCCACTGACCTGAAACATGAAAAATTTCAAGAAACTTTTAATTTTCCTTATGTGTTATTGATAGATTTGACTGACTTGTTTTCAAGGGTCTATATCCTGAGATTTGATTTCCATCATTTTTAAGAAAACCATAAAATAGATTTTCTTTCACTTTTATGTAAATGCATTTGAGCTTTTATTAAAGGAAAAATTCTATTGTTATTCCAGGTTAAGTTTCATAAACTTTGTATTTAGTTTGCTTAAAATTCTCTTTTTCTTTTAATTCACAAGTCAAAATAAAATTATTGGTCTAGGTATGGTGTTCAAAAGGGGAGAGAAAATAGTGTTTGAGATTCTTAGATACAAAGCCTTTTTTGATCACGATAGGTTAGACATCTTATTAAAACATTCCTAGTGAGCTGATATTTGATGTGATCCGTACTTTGTGTGCCTCCATGGAAAGGTTCAATGAAATGCACAATTTCTTTTTTTTTTAATTAGTCACACCAATACAAATGGGGAAAAGTAAACAGCTTTATCATATAACAGAATTAATTCTATATTTGTTCTCTATTCCACAGAATTGACTGAGACTGGAAACAAGACATCTTTTCTTTAAATCATGTTACCAAATATTACATATTTTTGAATGGAACTACCTGGAAAAAAATGAAACTGTATTCTTTTTATTTTATGCATTTTATGTCATTGGTTTAGTTGGAATTAGACTCATGAACTCTTTTCAATTCCCAAATTGTAAGTTCAATGTTGAGTTAGAAATACTCTAAACATGTCAAAAAAATGTATATAAGAATAGTTTCTGGGATTGGATTTACCAGTATATCTTCAAGATAGCATACAATAAATTGTTTCCTTAAATAAATTAATTTGAAACACATTGAATTAAAGTTATTCCTGCTTTTTTGTTTACGTGACCTAATAATCCTAGATCTATGGTTCCTTCTCATATGAAAGCCAATTAAATGTCTAGTAATTTTCAATGTAACAAAAGATAAACAGAGTTCAGTGACTATAGAAATATGTCTGATTTTAAAGAATAAATCTTACTGTAGTCATATTGAAAGTCCCCATTGATTCCTTTCCTTCCTTTTTTCCTTCCCTCCATCCTTAACTTTCATTCATTTCTTCATTAATTCATTTAACCAGCATTTTAACAATTGTTATTATAGATCTATGGAATAATGAACAAGCACACTAATGCTCCCATGGCACTTCCAAGTAACAAGATCCTCCCAGAGAACAAGTAGTCTCAATAAAATCCTGAAAACTTACATCAAGTATATATAAGTTGGAATACCACAATGTAGGCATTGATTCCTTCATTTTCTCCTTCAAATTTTGGAAGGACAGGGATTGCTTATGACAGTGAGAAATGAGAATAGTGTCCTATTAAAACAGAAGTAAACTTTTGTATTAATTATAATCCCATTCTCAGGAACAGCAGATTATTTTAGAAGACTGATGGATTACACTGTGTTTGACATTTTATAATTAAGTAAAACAGATACCTTATTATCTATAACCAACACTGCGGTCTTTGAAAATGCCATGGTGTTCATTTACAAGGGAAATATCACATCAGATATTTCCTGTGATATCACATTAGGAAGTCCACTGATATTTGTGCTGGACTTTCCTCCCCTACTCTTTCTTCTGTATTTGTGACAAATATCCATCTTGTTTATTTTTTAACAGGATATCATGTATCTATTTGAATGACTGAAAAGTCTTGCAGCTAACAATATGGAAAAATATGTGACTGTCTACTAGATAGCCATAGAATTTCTTTGGCACAGAGCATATACAGGGACAGGCTATGTTTCTGACCTTCATGGGCTTATTTTATAAGCCCCTGAAACAAAGTTAAGGCAAGTACAGGAACACAAATTTATTGTGTGAGTTTCAACTGCAGAGAGGACTGTGCACAATACAAGTCTAGATTTGGAATTTAGCTTATTGAGTTTATTCAAACTTTGACAATAGAAGATATAGTACAAAAAAGATGTGTCAAGTCAAAAGAGCAGTAGGCTAAGCAGATGCCCTGTATTTTTAATGTAATATGTGAGAAAAAATAGAGAAGTTCATGAAAATCTCAGAGAAGGAAAAGAATAATAGATGAGAAGAACATTTCCAGGCAATTTGTATATTGTGGAAGTCAAGGAGACAAAATTTCAAGAAGGAAAAGTTAATTGCCCACAAATAAAGACTTCAGTGAGCTTTGAAATTTCTAAATGTCATCAAACTACAGTTTTCTCATCTGGAAAGCATTATCATAGTAGTTGGAACAGGATTAAATGAGAATGTGTATAAGGGATGCTGCAAATAGGAATTGCTTATATATAAACATTAGGCATTATAATTATTTATACCATCATAATCTTCATTGGGAAGAATATATTCTTTTTCTGGGGCTTTGAGCCTGCTAAGCAAGAACTGTTTCCCTGAACTATATCCCCCGTTACAGGAAGATCTTCATAAAAACAATTCTTTAAAAGTGATGGAGGAAATGAAAAACAAAGTACAGAGCAAAAATGTCTTTGAACAAACAGGAGGGTCACTTCGAATCTTAAAACAGGAGGGAGAGAGTTAGAGATCCAATGAGCCATAGATTCCTTCATAGAAGAGTGAGATTGAATACTTAAAATAGTAGTTCCAAATGGATTCAATTTTATGTCCAAAAGAAGTAAATTGTTTTCTTCATTTGACTATTACATGACTAGAGATAAATGTTTCATAAATTTGGTATATTAGGACATCTCTGTGGTTCCTCAGCATGAGTGTAAGGCTATAGGTTGATATATGGAATTGGATGCAGATTTTTTTATTTAAATGAGAATAGTTAATATGGTAGATGTAACATATGCCTATTCTTTTCCTACATATACACAAAAGAAAAAGAAGTGTGCCATCACACCCAGTGAGAAGAGAAAGTTTTTACTTTCAATTTTCATGGAGTACTGCCATCTCACTCTTGACTTATAATGTACTAATGGTCTCTTAAAACTGCAATGATCTTCAGTAATATGTTTATCCAATCCTACCTGCATTCCTTCTTTTGTATCTTTTTATTTGGTGTCATTTTTATCCTCCATTTTCTGTGGTTGGAATCAGAATTTGGGGGATATCACATTGAAATGATACATCAAATGATATGGGAAATAAAAAATGTGACTGAGTAGATATACCTGGCATGCTTCACTCAAAACAAAGCCAGAAAAGAGAAAATAACACCAATTTTAATGAAGCTATGAAACAGAGTACCTAGTGCAATAGGAATCTGGTAGCATTGATTTAGATCATAGAGATACAAGGTGGCCACATAAAGGGGTAGACACAGGCGTCTCTGACCCTTTTGTCTCCAGGACTACCCTGAACCAAAAAGACCCCATTCATCAGGGAAAGAGTAATCAGAAAGTCCCTGGCAGTCCCCATTTAAGCCAGAGGCACCTGAGGCAAAGCATTCACTGCTGGAGAGGCCTGTGGTCCTTATAGTTCCTGAATGCATCTGGGAAGTGAGCAGGTTACCACCCTGTTGCATTTCCCTGGAGAGAGAGCTCAGCCAGCATGGATCCTCTTTCCCCCTTGCTGAAAGGTACTACACACATTAGTCTTCCAGGGATTCTTGAATAGCCAGACAGCTGCCACTAGCAGTTGTGCTGATCTTGTCTTGCTAAACAGCCAAGATACCTTATCTACCCTTCTGACCACTCTCCTACTACCCAAGAGATCAACCTCCCTCTAGGTGTTTTCCATGGGCTGGGGAACATGGGGGATCCAGATCACACAGGTGATCTGGAGGCCTCCAGATAATATGGGATACCCATCTAATATTCTGTTCCTAATAATGAATTATCCAACCAGTAATAAGCAAGAGAATTTTTATACCAATTTTCCTAGGAATAGTAAAAACATTTTCTTTTTGTCTAATATCATTGACCACATGGCTTCTGATGAGTAACATGAGCCCCTAAGACTCAAGGAATTAAATCAAATTTCAAATTATGAATAGAAATTTCCTGTGAGAGATGTGTAGTACTAAACTCCTGGAGTCATTTCACTTTAAATGTGAGAAACATGAGGTGGAAGGATATGAGTTCTCATGGAAATCAACACATACTGTAAACTACATACTTTTCCTTATGCAGCTTGGAAAAAAGGAATTGAGTAAAATCAAATTAATCTCAATCAAAATGGATCATACCATTTCATTGTTCAGAATCTATCTTGTTGAAAATTATTATTTATTCACAAGGAGAATGTTTTTTGTTTGTTTTCTGCAAACAGAATTAAATGTGTTTATACCCCATGCCTAGGGCAAACGAGAAGATGTGGAAATAAAAGTACTTAAATGTCTGGTCTAGGTTTTGCTTTGCTAAATAATTTTTACATATTATGCTAAGATAGATAAGAAAATTAAGCTCTAGTGTTCTGTTGTACAGTAGAGTAACTATACGTAATGATAATACATTATGTGTGTTTCTTTATTAAACTAGAAGAAAGAAATTTGAATCTTTTCACCTTAAAAAGATGACAATTGTTCAAGGACATAGATAAGTTTACTCCATTTGAATATTACACAATGTATGTGTGCATGGAAACATCACATGGATACTCCATAAAAATGTATAATTTGCATGTATCAGTTAAAAAGGATAGTATTGGGGGCTGGGGATGTGGCTCAAGCTGTAACATGCTCGCCTGGCATGTGCGTGGCACTGAGTTCGATCCTCAGCACCACATAAAAATAAAATAAAGATGGTGTGTACACTAAAAATTGAAAAGTAATATTAAAAAAATTCTCTCCATATATCTTTAAAAAAAAAGATAGTATTGGGTTGCTACTGTATGCTGGGAAATGTGCAAGGCTGATGTTGTGGACATGATGGAGGTCTTGTAGAAACCTGCCTTACAATGAAAACCAACCTATTTGAAAAAGATTGGAATTATTCCATGAAGATATATATATATATTTACAAATAATTTTAAGTGAAATAACAGTTGTCAGCTTAGTTATTGTTTTAAAGTGAAAGAAAAAAATTATTGTACCTTATTTCCAGAGAAATTCAACAAGAAAGAGATTAGTGATAATCCTTATATTTAAAATTACCTCAAAATAGTGTTAGATGTGAACTTGACAAAAAAAAATCCCAGCTCCATATATAGACCTGTTTTTCCCCCACTTAATTAAAAATTTAAAACATCGTGAGCTATTTTATCTTTGTTTATTTTTTTTTGAAGATAATATGAAAACGATCATTGGCATACTGACCATGTGTCAACTGAAGTTGGTCAATGAGTACAAAATTTCAGTGAGACAGGAGGAATAAATTCTAGTGTTCTACTGCATAATAGGGTGGTTACAGTTATTTATAACGCAACTTCAGTATAACTAGAAGAGAGGTTTTTGAATGTTCTCACCATAGAGGAAATAATAAATGTTGGCAGTGATGGATATGCTAGTATTCTAATTTGATCTTAAAGTAGAATATATTGAAATGCCACATTATACCATATAGATAGGTACAATTATTATTTCTTCATTTAAAAATAGAAATAATGAATAAAGAGCCTAAGAGTTTGGCAACATCTATTGAATACAAAACTTTGTATTCCTGAATAACAATGACATAATAGAACCCAGTTCCACTATGTATTAGGGCTGTACATTGAGAAAATAATCTTTGTGTTCAGTTTTTGTATCTGTAAGATGGTGACTCTCTCTCCCTCTCTTTCTTTTTCTTTTTCTCTGGCTACGAGTTCTATTTATATGTACCATTTACAACATTTAAAAACAAATTATATAATAATATTGTAACATAATAAATTAGAAAGCACAAATTTGAATAGCCAGGCAAATGACTTAATT